TTTAGTCTTCTTCCGCTCATTGCGTAACCTCAGACAGCGAACAGTTTCCGTTTCGATAAGATCTATCCCTCTTGTCCATATGGAATGAAATGGAGAAACTGAGCCGGAAAACCCAAAATTTCGGTGGGAAGGTACAAAAATAAATTAGAAAATGTGAAATTAGTCTGAAATCTCGAATTTAGCCATTTGGGATGCAAATTTTAATCAAGCTATGTTAAGGCAAGGCATCGAATGTGGCTTGGAAGAACATAGTTAAAATAACTTGGAGGAACTCCAGCGCCGGTAATTTTGTATTTGAAATGCATATTTTGACATTTGCAGCACAAGAAATGGAGAAAAAACTCTATTTGGGGTAGAAAAGGTTCTGGAATGAGGTAGGCCGGAGCTTTTTCGGATACGCATTGGTAATTATACTACTGTTGCGAGTTGTTTCCTGATATCCTGTAATCAAAAATTTTTTTAATTTTTCATCTGTGCTACAATGATAAATTTGTAAAAATTAATAAATTTTACTGCTATTCGCCATAAGCTTTTGTGTGTTTTTTTCAGAAACGAATTTCACGAGAGAACGTCTTTGAAGGTGCAGCTCCGCAGTTCAATGCCAGACAAAAGATCACGATGATTTTGATGCCGGACAAAGATCGTCAGGCGGCTGATCGCTTGAAGAAATCGCGGGGATAGATAGATAAACTTCTATGCTGTTAGGTGTCATCTTGTGGCCAACTCGGGTAGAACACTTCTCTCAACATTCTTGTTGTTGTATCATTTGCTTGTTCCGTTGTTTTCGATACGCATGCTTCATATAATAGCATGTATCATTCATGCCAAATTAGCGATTGTTTGAGAATCATAGTTTATCATAGGGTTGCTTATTGTGGCATGAAATTCTGACAGGCGTTGAGAAGTGTTGCTTCTGTTGCTGTGCTGTATAAGGAAGGGCTCGATTCTGTATTCATTCAGTCTTTTTGGAGCTCTTTCATTCGATATTATAATACTAAAAAAATAGAAAAATCCCTTGTCATCAGCTTACTTGTAAACAGCTTTTGCAAGATGAAGCCATCAGTAGCTCTACTAGCGGGTGGTAAATGCAAGAATTTTGGCATTTACTACTACTCGAGCTAATTTTGGCCAGTTTTCTCAAGTAGCCAGTAATAATATCCAAAAATATCTCCTATAATATCCTCAGCTGTCTAACATACAGCCAGTTTTTGAGAGAGAATTACCCTGTTGCACTTTTCGCCAATTCCATTATTTTTTTGTTGCAGTATAATGCATTAATTCATCAAACAAGATATACGGGCCATTGCTGGTCCAGCTCGGAAATCGCCTGATACATCTTATTTGTGCTCTGTTTGATGAATAAGTGCTTTTATTGGTTATTGTTGACAACATTACTACTACTACTACTGTTGTTTAGTAGTGTTTGTTTTAATTTGACAAAAAAAAAGCGGTTTGTAATATAACTTGATCTTAATCATAATTCATTGTGTACGTTTTAATTAGTAGTGGTCCACTGTTTGACCCACCACTGAGGTATTTTTGATAGCCCTTTTTCAAAGGATTAGTTGAGAAAGAGAGATCTGGAAGCCAATCCGGGATTCGTCTGATATGACTGGTTATAATGTTTCCAGAATCTCAGCATTTGTCGGGATAGGAAGATCTAGAAGGTAACTCGGGAATTGTCTGATGTAGCTGGTTGTAGGATTTTAGCTGCTTATTCCCCTCAGCTCTTGAAGGAATATAGAAAAAGTGTTTAACTTCCTTGGTTTTCAAATTGCATGAAGAAAAAGCTTTTAATTCCCCCAATGCTTGAACTGAATGCGGGAAAATCCTTTGGAGGCAAGGGCAAGGTTCCCGTGGCCTCTTTTTTCCCCTTCCCTCCCATGCACATATTTTCCAATACCCCCCTGATACCTGTTTGTTCTTTTTTTCGCTCGTCTCTTTTTATTTCGTTCTCTAAATTGTGTTTTAGCAATTTAATATTGCCACTGTTATATGTTTTTCCTTTTTGAAATAAACATTAGCTTAATGAATATGCACAAAGCAGTACCACGCGCGTGATGTAAAATTTTTTATGCGGAAAAAATGCAGTTTGGAACATAATTCACGGCTTTAAAAAGAAATGAAAGAAATCACAAACGATAAATTAGATATAATGGATTTGAAAATGTCCATATTTTGGAAAAAAAAACTAGAAAACAAAGATATTGGCTGGTGGTAATTCTAATTTCCTTCCCCCCCTTTTTATTCCCAAGCCCCTCCCCCCGCTTCCCCCCAACAGCACAGGCACCAGTGCTACAAAAGTCCGAGTCTAAAACCAAAACTAAAGCAAACTAAAGCCTGAAGGAACTCTAAAGTAACTCTAAGTGGCAGTGTTATAGCTTCATCCCTAGTTGTTGCATGGCCCTAGGTTCCCTCTCTTGCCCTCGCTCGTCGACCCCTCCTCTCACTTCTCCCTCCCACCCCCTTCCTCCTAAAGAGTCCGTCCTTGATCCGACTATACCTGCATGCTCTTTCCTTGTCAGCAAATACCAGGAACAATTCAACAAGCACCCAACCAGAAGAATTGCTAATTTCGTAATTCTTTTAAGGAGACAAAACGAAACGAACGTTAGAACCACCGGCAGGCTTGCCACCAGCCCACGACACAGTATTGGTCAAGGCGACCAGGAAAACTGTCAGCTGAAGAACGAAAAAACCGGGACTATAGATGGCCCAAATACACTACTTCATTACGTATGGGCTTGTACACTAAAGGATATGACAGTAAGTGTTTTCATCTCATTTTTTTAGTGAGCATCATTCTCTGAACTTATGAATTGTGCTCTGTCTACACGGGGTTATCGGAAGTTCTAAACTTACAGCATACTGCTCTCCAGTACTATTTTATTGAGATGTGGCCTCCGAGCTTCATAGTCTGAGGGTGAGGGGAGTTATCCAGAGACGAATTTCACCCCCTCTCTTCCCCCTCCCCATTCCTCTTTGCCCCTCTTCCAAGTTAGTGTAACTTCATATCTTTATAGTTTTGAAGGTGGACGCCAACTAGTAGCGTTATAACACCCCCTAAAGTAACTCCAAGTAGTAGCGTTATAACTCTATTCCTAATTTTTGCACATTTCCAGTTTTTGCATAATCCTTCCTCCTCCCAGGAATCCGTTCTGGATCCGCCTATGAATGTATCCACAAAGTAACTGCATACATTACAAAACGAAATCAGTGGAAAGAATTCCATGAGGTTTAAGATTTTTGACAATCTCATCCATGCTGACATCCGGATCAAACGCAATCTCCATCTCACCGTTCAAATTCTCAATCCAGTGCACCTTATCGGACGCATAAACACATATTTCACCTTTCTGATTACATGGCAAGTAGCACCTGAAAATCACGGATCACGGTACTGCACATAATGATACTTGGAGATCAGTAAAAGTGATGAGCTCATGTAGGGTACGTGAAATATCTTGAAACAAGACGCTAGAATATGAACTCCTAATTGCTTGATTCTAGACAAAATCTAAACAACTTTTATATTCAAACTACTTTTCGTATTTTCGGGGACCAGATAAGATAGGGGGATGAAATTTTGCAGGGATATTCTCTGTGCATGTATGAGCTAAAGATTTAAATCAAAATTAAAAATTTCTCAATATTTCTCTCCCCATAAAAAGGCGATTATAAAATGGAAACTGGCCGAGTGACAGTACTTTTCCAATAGAAAATCAACCACGGGCAAGTTCAACAAGTTATCCTCTACTAGCGACTTTGACTGCCCGATATATGCCAGTACCAATTTACCACTGAAGGAAGCGAGCAAATCGTAGATGGATTGGTTTAATCCACTGGGAGATTTGTGCTAACCACCCAAGCCCGGCGCTAACTGCCAGGCTCGTATTGATAAAATCTTTTTTGAAAAGTACACAGTACCTTTTTTGGTTTGAACTCACTCACCATTTGTTGCATTGCTCGTCCAGTTCTGATGTGATGGCAGCACCACTTTCCTCGCCCTGCTTCATACGTTTCATATTCGAATAAATCTCATCGACCAGTGACCGGGAGATTCGCCTCCGTTCTTCCTTGGACCCGAACAGTCCCGAATCGGATCCCGAGACGTCCTGATCCAGCGAATCCTGAGTCGTCGATACAGCATCTTTGTCCGTCACCCTTGTTGGTTTTTCCGGTAAACTCCGAGAATCTCCAATGAACAGGAACCGCTCAGTTTCGCTCAATCGCCGTTGCTCATCCAATGCCTCGACGTCTCTCGGTGAATCCTCGTTCTGTCGTTTACGTTTAACGCTTCCATGAAGCTGCTTCTCCATCGCTTGTTCTTCTTTCACATCACATGCTTGAAAAACCGCTCTCGAATGTTGCTGCTGCTCCTCCTCTGGAGCCGGCGCTGCTGGCCAGGAAGTATCATCAACGTACTGTATACGTACACCATCAAGCTCCTCCGGGGGTATCGGCTCATACCCCTCCGGTATTTCCTCAGCTTCCAACAGCACATACCCATCTTCACCATCGCCTGCGTATGTGTAAAGCGTAGGGCCAGCCAGCTGTTGTTGTTCATTTGAATAAGTCTGCTCACGAACCGACGACGAACTACCGCCTCCTTCCATGAGAGCCTCTCGGGCTCGATCTTTTCGCCCCAAACGATTCTGTCGAAAATAGGATTTCCGGACACGGCTCCACGATGGATAAATCTTTGGTAGAATACTGCTACCCTGGACCTTTCCTGTTGATGCAAGATCAATTGCACGGTAGAATCCCTGAAAACTGTTTTTATGATTTTCCGGAAAAAAATTTTTTTCAAGAACGGATTTCTTAGAAGAGGCCTCTTACCGCTTTTCAAAATAATGTGACACTTTTGGCATCATCCATCCCTTCCCTTCCTCCTCTCTCTCGCTCTTAACGTTCAGTCTCAACGGGAGGCGAAGGCACTCGAAAGTAGCTTGAGTGATAGCACATGCCAACAGCAGTCAATCACTGGCAAGATTCATTTGTGAGTTGCTTACAAGCAAGCTGATGGTGGCATGTTCCAGTTACCAACTTATCGCTGACATGAGTGAACGAAAAAAGAAACTGGGCTGATTACGTAGCAAGAATGACAGACAACAGATGGACGAAACGAAAAATCGACGGCTACCCATGGAATATCAAAAACCGTAGATGCAGTGACGCACTGGGCCGATCCACTAGCTCGAATGTATGGAGTATTTTGCATGCGAAGAGCCTAAGTTCGAAATCAGTGGCACGGTTATTGACTACACCACTGCAGAAAACTCCGAATATAAATCAGTGGCTAATAAGTACCAAAGAAACGAATCGTAAAGGGACTCATACGTTTTTCTCAAAATAAATGACCGATCATATGACCAGATATAAATGAAGGGGGACGACCAATCTTACCTCAGCATAAGCGGCTTTTGGTGTTTTCAGCCCGTAGCGAATCTCTTTTCGATTTTCTCGATCCAAGCTGGTTGTGGTGGCCTCGATTCGTCGTGTGGGTTGGCAGTTTGGATGATGTCGAAGATGTTTTGAGCCCACAATACGGCCATTTTCCATTGTCAGATATGCCTGTGGGGCAGATTTGTCGGTACGACGATGTTTCAGGCACTGGTTGCAACGATAATAGCGTTTTTTTCCATCACCAGCAACACGAACCAGCGCATACTGCCGCACATAATCATTATCCACCGGCACAGTTACGATTGTTTCGTTTAAATTCCGTGATAAGCAATAGCTATACGAATAGGCTGCCTCATCATTTGGGCTA